TGGAAAGACCCTCAGGTGCAATGGAGTGTATCTGGAGAACAGTCTGCTGCAACCTCAAATGAACAGATGGGGAAACAAAGATGAAGATGGATGATAATGACACAGCATGAAGGCACACTCCACTCTGGGAGTCTGGCAAATGTGCAAGTGAGGAGCTCCAGAGGATCTGAGCAGGGGAGTGAAAGCTAACCACGCAGTCATTTGCACAATGGTTTGCAAAGGGACACCCACCGGTAGAGGAGAAAAGTTAGATGGCTACTGGAATGTTCTAAGTAAGAAGGAAGGAGGTGTCAGATTCAGAAAATGAAAAGATGGGAAAAGATAGAACCAAAAAGTCATTGTGACCCATCAAAAGGTGAGCAAGGCTGCAACCTGGTGAACCCAAAAAGATAAACTGTTATCTCTTCCCCCAAGTAGCTAGGCAGAGCATGACCAGGACTCTCAGTTTAGTGCAAGGAGTGACACAGCTATTGTTCATCGAAAGTCTACTGTGTGTCAGAGACAGTGCTTAGTGCATTATATACTTTATCTCATTTAAGTCTTTACGTCAAGCCATTCCAAGAGTTGTGCTTTATGATCACCAATTTACAGAAGAAAAAACACAGATTCACAGAAGATGACTCACCTATGCTTAGAGAATAGAGAGTAAAGAGGATTAATAACCAAGAGCTATTAATTAGAATAGCACCTATTTGCTGGACACTGGGGAGCAATGACCAACGGAGAGACGATTCCTGCTGCTATATTCAAACACAGACCTGACTTGTAAGCTCTTCCCTTTCTTCCTTCTGCCCCTGCTTCCACTCGTAAAAGAAGTCCCTGGTCTGAATTGGTTAATAGCATTTGACTATTGCCACGTTGTGCTTACACTGTGGATACTAAGCCTACTTTTTATTTTTTAAAAATCATGATTACTTGGCTGAAAAATGTTTTCACTTTTTCTTTTAAAATGTTGATAATCACAGGAAGCTACAGTACTTTGTGCTCAACTGTTTGTTATTTATATTTTAAGCAAGAAAAGCTGGTACCAACTCTCAGATCGACGTAAAGAAGCAGTTTACATCAAAACTCGGGCCTTCTCACTCTTGCAGTACTACCTTTCCTGAATCAAAACATTTTTGATTCAAAATAATCTGCCAGATGTCAAAGTACAAAGTGCCAAAGTCTAATTTATAGGAAGGTACTTAATTAACTTGAACAGATTACACTAGAAAGAAAAATCCATCAATAATTTGCATATTTTTTATATTCAAGATATTAAGAATTGAAATGTACATGGGATTCTATGACAATTAGAAAACTTTGCCTCATCCACTTAATTAATATTTATTGAGCACTAAGCTGGAAGCAACACTATAAGTGCTGTGAGAGATACAGAAATTACTAAAGCAGGATACTATTTCCAGGTGTTTCAGTGTGGTAGAGCATAAGACACAAGGAAAAGAAACATAATTCTAGTTTAGGTCATGTGGTTGTTGGAAGACAATTCTCCATGGGTCTCTTGCATTTTTGCACGTATTGTGAGTGAGGCACTGACTGTCCTTTGTTCTGAACTCTCTTTTCAAGGATATTTCTATAGCAAACAGCTCTGGAAGACAGAGTGGTATCCCCCTTAGGAGTAAAGGGCAGTTTTGCTTACAATCCTGAAAGATACAGTGTCTCTTTACAGAGCAAAGGGTAGGCATGCTTACAGTCTGGTATAATAATGTGTCCCTCCAGAACAAAAAACAGATATGTTTCCTAACCATTATTAAAGATTTGGGTTTCCTGAACTCAACGATCCTCTCTGGTAAGGCGGTATTTTGTATGCAGTAATGGAAGCTCGCCCTCTTCATGTCACCTATGGGACCAGAGGCTCAGGGAATAGGTGCAAATAAGCTGAGACTCACAGACTGCTGTTGCTATGAGTCATAAACTGTCCTTTGTCTCTGACTTTGGAGTCTCATGTCTTCTACCCACATCTATGAAACTGTGTTAGGCTAACTTGCTGGCTTGCAAGTAGGATAAAATCTCAGTCTCGACAGTTCTTGACAGCAGGAGGTTGCAAAAATGGCAACAAATTCATTCCCTTTCTGCATCTCTGCCCTTTGGTATACCCTCTTATGCTGACTCTGGGCTTGGACATGTAACTTCCTTGGCCAATGGGACATCAGAAAACATGACGCAAATAGAAGACTGAAAAGTACCTATCCATTGAGGCTTACGCTCTTGCTGACTGTTTTTAGAATTTAGTTTTCATGTGAAAAAGCCCAGGCTAGCCGGTTTGTGAGAAATATGTGCCCAGTGTCCCCCAGCACCTCAGCCAAGAGCCTCACAATCACCAGACATGTGAACAAGGCCAATTCATGTCATCCAGCCTCCAGCCAACAGTCCAGTTAACTGCTGGAGTGAGAATGAATCCAGCATTGATCAGTAGGGCTGACCGACCAGAGGAACTGTTCAGCTTCTAGGTTTTGAAGTGGTTCGTTATGCGACAAAAACTAAGAAAAAGGCAGAGGACAAGGGAAAAACTACTTCTAGTACAATACCTATATTACAAATGCCACAGGGCTCAGTGTATGTCTGGTTAAATATTGTAACTCCAGCACTCAACACTGTGCCTAGAAAAGAGCTAAAAGTGCCCACTGTTCCAGCTTTGTTTTGGTTTCTGCATCTGAATACTTACCACAAAAGTCACTTAATTTTCACCTCACAGGCAGGTTGTGAGCTTACAGGGACTGTGTATGAATCTAGCAGGGCACACGGTGCAAGGGAAAAGCAGAATTCTCTCCTCCAGGAAACATGTTCCTGTGTGTGAAAAGCAGCTCTTCCACCTACTATCTGGCAGTCATTGGGTGGGTCATTTAAACATATTGCACTTCAAAGGTGCCTGGGTGGCTCCATCGGTTAAGGATCTGCCTTCGGCTCAGGTCGTGATCCCAAGGTCCTGGGATGGAGCCCCAAGTCCGGGCTCCCTGCTCGGTGGGGAGTCTGCTTCTCCCTCACCCTCTGCCTGCTGCTCTCCCTGCTTGTGCTCTCTCTCTCCGTCAAGTAAATGGATAAAATCTTAAAAAAACATATTGCACTTCAGTTTCCTTATCTGCACCATGGGAATAATAAAGCTTTCTTCGTGAGCTTTGTACCACAGGTGTTATAAAGGAGGCCCTCTCTGAGTATCGGGGCATTGTGGTAGAAGAGATGAAAGCCTGGGAGTAGCAGTAAACACTGTTAAAGGCCAACAAGTGACAAGCACTTACTCACACGCTTTCTCTCTCACATACACACATGTACAAAATCAAACCATTTCCCAAAGTTAAATTAAAAAGCTAACTGGCAGAGAACTAAGAGGAGGGAAGCTAAGTAACAACAGGACTATATTGTGGTCTATAGGAAAACAAAACTTAGTATATTATATTATTATATAATTTGCCTGTGTTGTATAGAACAAGCCAAAGTATGTTGTTTGAAAGCCCCCTGAATAATATAACCTTTCTGGAAAATGAATGCCCGACAATGTGTGAGTGTATAAAACGTAACATTATACTAATGCACCTAAAAGGTCAGTTTTCAGATATTCTGCTTCATTTCTGCAGTTGAGAATTAAATCCCTACTTTTTATTTATAGACATTTTAACTACTTTGCTCTTGATCCTCTACCGTGCTAGATTTCATCATATTTAAAACACTTTAAAAAAAAAGACTTTCTTTTATGATTTGGCATCTTCAAAAATTCTGTTTAACTGCTGGTTGGCAATTGAGTGCAGTTGATATTGTCTCTTAGACATCAAAACCAAGATTATTATTGGAATTATACAAATCAAACCAAGAAATTACTCATGGGCCTAAGATGGTTTTCTGTAGCATTTTGAGACCTTGGTAAGGGAAATTTAAAAAAAAAAAAAATCACAATTTCTATTCTCATTTATATGAGATATGTATGCAAATTTCTTTTTCTACCACTTAAATCATAGGAAGTACTAAATAAATGGCATTTAGTTATGGTTTAGCTATTGTTAACTATAACCATACTGTATATTTTAATTTTTAAAAAAGAATAAACAGGCAAAGACATGAATGGAACTAGAGAGTACAATGCTGAGTGAAATAAGTCGGTCAGAGAAAGACAAATACCATATGATTTCACTCATATGGGGAACATAAGAAATAAAACAAATGATCATGAGGGGGGAAGAGAGAGAGAGACAAACCAAGAAACAGACTCTTAACTATAGAGAACAAAGGTACTGGTCACCAGAGGGGGGGTGGGTGGGGGGTTGGGTGAAATAGGTGATGGGGATTAAGGAGCGCACTTGTTGTGATGAGCACCAGGTGTTGTATGGAAGTGTTGAATCACTAGATTGTACACCTGAAACTAATATTACACTGTATGCTAACTATACTGGAATTAAAATGAAATGAAATAAAATAAAATAAAATAAAGCAACAAACATATCACCATATCTCATTAGCCACTGACAATCAAGCTCTAAAGTTCTACCAAACAAGATCATATGCCTTCAGCAACACACACTTATCAACCATAAACGGCCATGACGCCAATTGTATCTCTATCTCTGGAGCAAATAGTTGGAAAGCATTAAGACAAGAACATGCATAGAAAATAAAAAATCAGAAACACTACATATTAATGGACATTTTAAATTTTAACAAATTGTTTTACAGATTGTCCTTCTGATCCTGAATCCAGAAACATCCTCTCCCCCAGTTCACACCCCCATCATGGGGCACTACAATGCCACACTGCCTTACCGTGGGATGGTATCAAACACCCCTCAGCTCAAATGCGAAGTCTGATCTCCACTGGGGGGACATCCAGGTGGCCAGACCCGGGAAGATCCCACCAGAACCCCAATCTCATTCTGCCCCAGAAAGGCCCCCAATATTCACAAGGTCTGGGGACTGCCATCAAACGGACTGCTGGTTGCATGCCACTTCGGGAAACTTTGTCATCCTCCGTGTATGGATATCTTTACAGAAACAAACACACTACCCCAACTTACCCGGAAATAGTCGCTGCATGCTGCCAGGACTGCCTTGTGAGCATGGAATTTCTGTTCCTCGGCAATCAGGGTGATATCACAGAGGATGCCGTCACTTCTCTGCTGATTCAGCGCTGCCAAGACACTATCGTTGTGAGATTCCGAGTGGCAGAGCCTCTGGCCTGTCAGCATTTCTTGAATACTACGAAAGAGAGCAATCACATCAACACTCTTCCTCTCGCCAGCCCCTGCCACCCCCGTATGACCTCACCCCTCCAGCACCAGTGTGGGCGGTGCCGATCCCAGCTCGCTACAGGAACGGGACATTCTTGTTCCCACTTCCTTCTCTCTACTCCTCTCTTACCCTCCTTTTCTCTAATTCTCTCTCTTCCTCACCCCCTCAGGGTGTCTTTCTCTTTCCTACTAGTGCTTCTCTTTCTGAATTTGTGTTTTGGTGTGTGTCCATCTGTGTCTGTGTATTGGCCCATGTCTGTGGGCCTGTGAGCTTCTGCTTCTGGGCCTCCATCCCCTCAATACGTGTATACATCTCTGAGGGCAGAGCTTTCTCTGGATGTGTATCTGGATGTGTGTACCTATGTGACTGTTTCTTCTCTGTGACCCCCCTTCCCTAACTCTCTAATTCCTTCTCTACCTTTGTACCACCCGTGTGGGGTTAGTGCAAGCTCAGAACCTCATCACCACCATGCACTGATCTAGCACAGAATCCATGGGACCTACGAGACTCATTAGAGATAAAGGAAGTTGCCAAGTCTCCCCACAGGTCACAATGCTACATTAATACATAAAACAATACTGAGTAAATGTTGGTTAGAGAAAAAAGGGCTTCCACTGACCATTCTGTGTAAAAGGCAATTAATTAAACCATGGCAGATGATTACTAAACTTGGGAAATTATGTATCACGGGAGAACATCAAAAGAAATGTCATGGTAAATGAGAAAAATCTAAGGCTGATTAAAAAAAACAAAATCTTGCCATTTGCAACAACGTGGATGGAACGGGAGGGTATTATGCTAAGCTAAATAAGTCAATCAGAGAAAGATATGTATCATATGATCTCACTGATATGAGGAATTCTTAATCTCAGGTAACAAACTGAGTGTTGCTGGAGTGGTGGGGGTTGGGAGGGATGGGGTGGCTGGGTGATAGACATTGGGGAGGGTATGTGCTATGGTGAGCGCTGTGAATTGTGAAGACTGCTGAATCACAGACCTGTACCTCTGAAACAAGTAATACATTATATGTTTAAAAAAAGAGAGAGAGAGAAGATAGTAGGAAGGGAAAAATGAAGGGGGGGAATCAGAGGGGGAGACGAACCATGAGAGACTATGGACTCTGAGAAACAAACTGAGGGTTCTAGAGGGGAGGCGGTGGGGGGATGGGTCAACCTGGTGATGGGTATTAAAGAGGGCACGTGGGTGCCTAGGTGGCTCAGATGGTTAAGCATCTGCCTTCGGCTCAGGTCATGATCCCGGAGTCCTGGGATCGAGTCCCGCATCGGGCTCCCTGCTCCTTGGGAGCCTGCTTCTCCCTCTGCCTCTCTCTCTCTCATGAATAAATAAATTAAAAAAAAAATTTTTTTAAATCTTTAAAGAGGGCACATACTGAATGGAGCACTGGTTGTTATACGTAAACAATGAATCATGGAACACTACATCAAAAACTAAAATGATGTAATGTATGGTGATTAAGATAACATAATAAAATTAAATTTAAAAAAAATCTAAGGCTGAAAGTAAAATACATCTTATATTATCAGCCTTCAATCTCTGCATGTGGTCATTGTACTACATTTAGGAATGACTATACAATTTTATTTTCTGTTCTATTTTTTGAAATTGCTAAATTTACTCATTGTGAAATTTAGCCCTTCTCTCCTTAGCCCATTTTAAAACATTCATCCTATGTCCTTTTAGAACTCCTAAGTAAAACCCCAGATCTTGCCAAAATAATGTGCAAGTGATGCCATAAACACATAATGCACACTGAATGTGTAGTTAGCTATGAACAACTCCAGCCTAGATCTATGAATAGAGTCTCCACAGTGCTCCAAAATCTCAGGAATGGCATTAGACCAGGATGGGTGAGCTGCACCAGTCACAAGTTACTCCCAGAATGAGAACAAGGGCCATCAAGCCTATTTCTGGCCTCTGGACTCTTCTCAAGGCTGAGGGAAGATACCATGGCGATGACTGAACATCGTCTCTCCTATCCTGACAACTCCTGCATTCACTTCTTCCCTCTCAATGTGAAAGAACTGCTCACGGGAGCCAGGGAGTCGCCACTGGCCCTAGTCTGCATGGTCAGTGTATTTAACAAAGCTCTGCCCAGCCGGGGGTGCCCGTTGGCTGCTGAACTGCCCTTCAACCCAGACCGTCGCCTTACATGGAACCAAATGCTTCCTAGGAAACGCAGAGTACAGCCCCATAAGCTTTACTGGACATTTCTGACTGGGGAGCCTCAGAAATATCAGAATTATTGAAAGAAAAAAAAAAAAAACTTGACAGGAGGTGATGATATGGGAAGTTCTCGTGGGAAGGTGGGAGGATTATTTTCAGTTGAAACGCAGCAGTGAGTTTTGAAATGGTTACTGTCATCGAATATTCATCTAGCGGCTCCAGCTAGCGCAGACATTTAAAATCAGTAACTGAAAAGCACATTCAAAAGCATAAGTAACTATTTAATACAGATTTCTATGCAAAGCCTGGAAGGGAGATTAATTAGCATCCCTCAATTAAAGAAATAAGGGAATAGAATAGTAACAGAAATAACGTACCAGCTAAAGTAAAGCTTTAGCATAGTTTTTGAAAAATCTTTCTTAGAAAGATGACATCTTTATATATTTCACAGTCTTCCCATGTTCTGTGAAGTATTCTTAGTGATTTATAATTATTAATTCATTAATAATCATCCTAACAACCCTATGAGGCAGGCACTATTCTTATCTCTGTTCTACAGATAAGAAAACCAAAGGTCCAAGATCAGGCATTTTGGGAACCTATCGCCAAGAACACAATAATGTAATTCCCCTTCCTGCTTAAAAAACAACAACAACAAAAGACAAAACAAAACACAATGATAAACTGTGAAGAAGATCTCAAAAATCTCTGATTGCAGGGGGAAAAAAAGTCAAAAAGTCCGTATTAACTCTGTATTTATAGTATGCATAGTTATCCCAAAATCAAAGCTGCCTTTTAAAAAGAATACACATGAAGATAATAACACGAGATAGTGACAAGAAATACCTGAAATCAGGCTTCAAAAATATTTATCTTTGCACTGCAACTAAGATAAGTTTGGGTATAGAAAACCAGATTCTAATTATTACTCATTTATTTGAAACACTCATTGCAAATTTATTTGAAACACTCATTACTTTTCTCTCTTTTAATACCACCTTAAGTGCTAAATAAATGTATTTTAAAATTTCATTTTTAGTGGAACAGTAGAATATGTTAAAATAATTGCCTTAAAGTGTTTCCTTACTCATTTTCCAAATATAGTGCCACGATTCGTGTCCTTATTATCAAGACTGAATCAGTATTTGCATTTCAGGTATCTATTGACAGTGAAAAATCTCACCAGGGAAAGAGCAGCTGTAAACTGAAATTTGGCAAGGAATAAAGGGCTTAGCTCTGAAACAATGGTGATGCTGCACAATTTCACAGGATCATTCAGCTGGGCTTGAAATATTCAAGCTTCAAGAAAACAACATGCTAAATATTTAAGGCAACACTTGGCACAAGATCTCAAATATTTTGGAACCAATATGTTAGGAATCTTTAAAAGCAGAAACAAATACTCCAACATTTGGCAAGAAATAAAGGCCGATTAATCAACAAGTCTTTATTGTATTCTGAAAGTAACTTCCCACTCAATTCTCAGATGTAAATCTGCAAAAGACTTCAACCCTCTAAATGTTAAAGCATGTGTGACCACGGCACACAGCTGGAAAGTGGCAGGCCCATCTCATGAGGGCAATGATCATAAACAAGGAAGGAGGTGAATCAGAGACTATAAAGGACCATGTCTAAATTAAGGTGAGGAACAGATACACGCTTGCAAATGGCTCCGTTGACATCTATAATTTATAGCAAATCAGCACACTCAACCTCCCAACAATGTCCCTCCATTATTCGGGAAACAATGAAGAAGGAAGGAAAAGAATATTCCTAAAACTTCCTAAATTACTGGGAAAAAAAAATACACAAAACATGAAGCACATTTCCCAAAGGTATACAGATTTGAGTGTCATCCTAAAATTGGGAAAGATCATCTGTGGAAGCAATGTTGCCACCTTAAAACTCACAGGTAAGTGCAGAAGGTGACCTGGCTTCCCCAATAGTCTTTCCTCTGAGGGATCCCCTAGAACTACACCCTCCAATACAATAGCCAATAGCTACAGGTGGATACTGGCCACCTGAAATGGGCGTAATCCAAATTGAGATGTGTTGTAAGCATAAAATGCACTCATGCACTTGATGTCAGATGTAGTACGAAAAAAGAATGCAAAGTATCTCATTAATATTTTTATACTGATTCCATGGTAATATAAAAATATTTGCGGTGTCCTGGGTTAAATAAACTATATGGTTAAATTCATTTTACCTGTTTCCTTGTACTTTTTTAAAAATGTTAACTACTTGAGAATTTTTAATTATACATATGGTTCACATTATGGTCATATCAGACAGTGTACAAGTTCCCAGGGGGACCTGTCCCTCATTCCTTTCCACCTGAACTCTATAAGGGCTTCGGGTAGCCCCTCAGGCTGCTGAGGAGCATGGCTGTTCCCGCGTCTCACAGGGCACAGCCTCTGCCAGTACAACATGGGAAGCCCCAGACTCTCTGAGCAGCAGATTGCTCTTTCGTGATGCCAGGGAGCATTTGATTGGCCATATGTCAGCGTTCAGTAACAGGGAGATAAATAAATGAGCTCTCAGGGATCAGGACTCTTCATGACTTCAAGTCTTTAACTTTCATTCTGGAATTGATGGCAAAAACTAAAAAAAAATCAAATGCAGAACACAATGTTCCTAACCCGGTACATCCCCTACTCTGAGGGAAGCTCAGCCAGAGTGCAAATCACTCCTTCTAGTTTATAGAGTTAACGTTTTTGATAGAAATCTCACAGGGTCCCATTTACATAAAGTAAATTTTGACTGAGTTTAGTCAGTTTTTAAGATGGAAATTCCAAAACAGCTATCTGGTTTTTAAACACCTGCATTTCAATTTTAAAATTAAAGTCATTTTCTGTATCAGTGTTTACCTACTACTTAGATATACAAAATATATGCAAGTCGTTTTCAAGTAAGGCCATCAATAAGGCATTGAAAATTATAAATCAAATGCAGGCATTTCTCAAATAGGCTACACAAGAAAGAAAAGACTGAACAGAACAAACCTGACAGTACTAGGATTATTCATGATTATCTCAGTTCAATATACTGATGAATTATCAGGTGAGTGCCCTAGTCACTTCAACTCCACAGTCAAAATATTTCTATACAAATTAAAAACATTAATATTACAACAGCCCTATTATTTAAGTGGGCAGGCTGTTAACCCCATAATGGAACTCAATTTTCTTTTTTATAGAACACTTTACTTATTTTTTTTAAAGGATTTTTTTTTTTAAGATTTTATTTATTTGACACAGAGAGACAGCCAAAGAGGGAACACAAGCAGGGGGAGCGGGAGAGGGAAAAGCAGGCTTCCCGCAGAGCAGGGAGCCCGATGTGAGGCTCGATCCCAGGACCCTGGGATCATGACCTGAGCCGAAGGCAGACGCTTAACGACTGAGCCACCTAGGTGCCCCCACAGAACACTTTAAAATTTGTAAATACCTTAAAATGAATGCCAAACAACTAATAGCAATGGTCAAAATAATAAGCAAAGACGACATAATATGCTTAGAGAATGATTAAGAAGTCTTTAATTATACAGAAAGGAACTTAATGATAAATGAATAGTTTTGTTTCATTCTTCCCTTCATTCATTCACTCAACAAACATTTACTTATCCTATGCCAGGTACTGTGCTAGATACCGGAGATCAAATGGTGAACAAACTAAACTTTGTAGCAACCCCTGTGGAACATTCAGTTTAGCGAGGCAGTTACACACTTGTCAAATAATCTGGCCTCCCAGAGGAAGTAATGTTGGAGCTGGGGGGCGAAGGATGAGAACGAGTTCCTGTGGCAAAAGGGGAGAGAAGAGTTTTCCAGATGGGGAAGAGCAAGTGATCCCAAGGTAGGAGGGAGCATGGCCCTCACACAGAATGTTAATTGTTCAAACCCTGAGGACAAGGGAGGGCCAGGTGCAAGGTCTGGAGCTCAGAAAGACACTCGGCTAGAGGGGTAAAGCTCAGACTCATCCACATAGAGAGGGTAGGAGAAGCACACCCATGTCTCCAGAAGACAGTGCAGAAACAATCAACAATCAAAGGTTGCTGAGAAGAAAGATAATATTCAAAATACAGAAGGATGGCTGGGCTCAGTGGTGGGAAAGGACTGCCCTTTGAGTAGCAGGAGGGAGGGAACAGGTAGACCAGAAACAAATATTAAGCTCTTAGCATTTTTTTTTTCCTGGTTCGTTGAATATAAAGATTTGGTGGATCCAATCTCTGCTGGACGATGTAGCCATGGAAACAAGGATATCTGGGTTCATCTGGGTTGGGATATTGTCAGGCAAATGCATCAAAAATGCAGGAAGCAAGAGAAATTAAGGATTCAAGAGTCCTTGTAGAATGTAAACTGGGTAAGAAGGGAAATGAGGGAAAGAAAGGGATGATGGGTTGGTAGAAAGTAGCAGGGCCAGGAGATGAGACATTGCAAAGAGGTCAAAGTTCAACCCTTGTGGGGGAAGGTAAACCAGCAGGCTAGACAGAGAGGAGGTCCTGGTAAGAGTAAAGTGGCTGATATGGTGATCAGAAACAGAGCAACTACTGGGGGTTCAAGGTCCAAGGGGTGACTGTGGGAGTGGATCACTCAGCAGAAGGAGACAGGTTCCGGAGATAAGCAGGTTGAAGACCCCGGGTCACCAAGTTGGACAGATTCTCAATGCAAACACTGAGGACACTGGGAAATTGTAAAGGGTTTGTGATGAGGAAGAACACTATAAGCCAGGTGCCAGATGCTCAGCAAATGAGGGGAAATGACCCTGACAACAGTGGAGAGGAGAGAGGGGGAAAGAATCGAAGAGCACCAGCATGAGGATGTCTTCATTGTATTTTGTTACTGTTGCCTTCTCAGACAACCAGCTGGAGGAGTAATGATGGAGAAGCAAAACTATGTCCCAGGCACCAACAATCTCCTCTACCCAGACCCCAAATACATGAGATGTGAGGAGATAATAATGTCACACTTGGCAGGGCGACAAGAGAAGTGGTGCCTCAGGAGAGGACAGGTCTCAATGAAGTCAGCAGGTGAGAAGAGCCTTTCGGGGTGACGGAGATGATACAGCAGAGCATACAATTGTGGTGCAACAGTTGCTCAGGGCACAAAGGAAGTTTGAAAGGTGGGGAAGGGAGAAGTCTGCATCACAGCAGAGAAGGAAAGACCATTATAGAGATCATGGTGCAGTGGAGGACAGAGGGCAATGGGATCAGAATTGATCAATAAAAGCAGAGATGGCAGATTTAAAGTAAAAATAATTTTGAGAGAAATGCACATAGGTCCCAGTAGCCAGAAATAAACCACTTGGCTGAGGTGGTGGCAGATACCATGGTCTCTATGTGCTATGGTCTCTATGGCTGGATGCCTGATCTAGAGCAGGATTTCTCAACCTCGGTGAAATTGACATTTGGGGCCAGATTGTTCTTTGCTATGGGGAGTTGTCCTGCATCTTGTAAGATGTTTAACAGGATCCCTAGTATCTACTGACTAGATGTCAATAGCACCCTCAACCCCAGGGACCACCAAAAATGTTGGCAGATACTGCACAATTGTACACTGAAGCAAAATTGTCTCCCACTGAACATCACTGATCAAGAGCAACAGACTCAGAGCTGTACCGGCTGTCGCAAGGCCTCCCTCCATTTCTTAACATATTTTTGGAAATGGTCAACTCTAACAGCTTCAGAGTTGTGGAAGAAAGCTGGTCTCATCATTTCATAGATATACCCAGTTCTTAATTAATAAAAAAAAAGTATTTCCTATGTCTCACACCCCTCTTATTCTTTGCTTTGAAGATCCTTTTGACTGTTTCCTCAGAGGATGATAGAGACTTGCCTCCACCAAAAATATTTAAAAAAAAAAAAAATGCCCTGTACTTTCTTATTGACTGCACCCTCAGTTTTGGGAATGTGCCAAGTTTCTTCCTGCCCCAGAGCATTTCCGCAAGTCATTCCATGCTTCAGATCTCAGATTACAGAGCCTTCTTCAGGAAGATGTTTCCTTATTCTATCAACCCTGTACTTTTCCTTCAAAGCACTTTTCACAATTATATTTGCCTTGTTACTGGATGTGATTTGCTGACTGTTTCCCCCAAAGAATATACATTTTATGAGGGCAGGAACCTTATCTGTTTTATCCACTGATGGATCCTCGGCATCAAGTACACTGCTTGGCTCAATAAATATCTGTTAAATGAATCATTAAATGTTATGAGTGTTTTGAGAATACATATCACACTCCCCAAAGTGACTGCTTTAAAGGGGATGATAGTCATATATAAGTATAGTTATCTGTTTAACTATACTTATATATACCTTTATAGGTATATATACCTATACCTTTATACCTTTATATACCTTTCATATACCTTTATATACCTTTATAGAAGTATACTTTTTTTTTGAGATATTCTAAATAAGAAAAGGACAGTAAGTCGTATCATTCAAAGAACCATGGAATGTACCTAGGTATGACCAGTAAATAGATCACAGTGGCTAACCCATGTGCTACAATACTAAACTCACAAACACTCTGACTGGTTTGCTTAATTCCTTCACATATGTGTTGAGCCCTGCTCTGCACTCAGCCCTAGGATGCACAGTGTGACTATTTCAGGACTCACGACACCAAACAAGGAAGCATCCTAGAGGGCCAACCTCAGGCAGCGTTCAGACGGCATTCTCCAGCTGGGTTCCTCAGGATCTCAGCCTTAGCAGTTTGAAAGCATTCCAGCTGAATAAAAAGACAAGAAAGAAAAGCACAGTGAGCTAAAGGCAAAAAAAGCACACTCTGGGCCTTCATGATGCAAATGCTTTGGAATCCCAAGGAGGCACCCAGGGGAGTTTTATAGTCAAGATTCAACATTTCGACTGAATGCTCTTTCATAAGCAATGGTTCGGGATGTTTTTAAGTTTTTTTCACCTCGCTGGAATTTCAGGGACTAAGTAGTAAAATGTGCCTGAGAACCAACAATCGCTAAATTAAGGGTTACAGTAAAAATTAAAACATCGGATGGCCAAAGAGAAAAAAATAAGATTTGATAAAATAAAGCTACGAAGGTCTTAACTACAAATACTAGTTGATTTGTCCTTTATAGCAATTTTACTTTTCATCCAAACATGAATATTAATCATGAATAGGATTAACAAATAAATAAATATGATTAAACATGAATATGAATCATGTGTGTCTTGGCTAAGTATTTACAGAAGGATAATTTTCTTTTTTTAAAAGTACTTTGAGTATTTTTTGAAGATTTATTTATTTTGGGGGTGAGTGGCAAAAGGCAAGGGAGAGAGTCTTAAGCAGACTGGGCGCTGAGCACAGAGCCCAACATGGGGTTCGATCTCATGACTCGAGATGCTGAAACCAAGAGTCAGATCCTAACTGATTGTCACCCAGGTGCCCCCAGAAAGATAATTTTCTATTCAAGAAGCAGATTTCTGGAAACTAGATGAAAAAAATAACACATAGGGAGGATGAAAATTAGTAGGAAATGGAAAAGAGATTCTTATAGGAGCTTTAGGATTAGCATAACTGGAAATATACAATAGAATGAAGTCGTCAGGCTTGAAATAGCTCCTTGGCTATATACTCTCTTAATCCCACCCCCACCCCCCACCTCACGGGGCCCCTCCCAGCCTTTGTTTTCAATCACTGATGTAACTCTAAACAGAAAAGTAAATTATCCGAATGGTCTGGGACGTGGTCCATGAATCTGCTTTACAACTCTTCTTTGTGGGTCTAGCTCTTGTTTTCTAATACACTCAAGTGGCAAAATTAATTCTAATCTGGATAATCTTAAACAGGCTCCCTTCCGCCTCAATTTTATTTTGAAAAGTATAACAGTAATATATTAAACTGCACCTATTTCTGCTAATTCATATAAGAGAGAGAGCTATGATTTCCAACCTAACTAAAATATAGTATTTGTTATATTGTATACAGACCTGCAGTTGGTATGGCTGTATAGTAATACATGTGGATATATCACAATTTAAATATTCCATTGTTCCTGAACAATTAGGTTCTTTTGAACATTTTCATACAATTGTATTTTTTATTTCTGGTTTTCTTTAATTATAGAAAATAGGATAAAAAAAAGAAAATAGGATGTCTAGACTTACATTTTGTCCTAATTTAAGTTTTGACAAACCTAAAAATGAGCATCATTTTCAATTGATCCAGTATGACTGAGCAGTACAGAGGCTCAGAATTATTCAAGGCACGTTGTTTAATTAGCTGAGAGACTTTCTTAGCAACCTATCACTGCTACAGTTTCTTTCCAGAATCTAGGTTATAAACTCCAGGCTCTTACAGGCTAACATAAACACTAACAGAGATGGACACTTGAACTTTAAAATGGCAAAATAATATTTACTATTATAGAGAGGTGGAAAAAAAAACCCTTATCTTTCTGAAAGTCTTATAAATGCTCCCAATAACTGGACAAATGGAGAACAAGAATCCTAAAAGTTAAAATAATCCCAAATTAAAGGACACATTTAACTTGATATTTTTCAAACATTCCAAACATAATTAGAAATCATAAGATAAATTAAATTCCCTTACTATTTGGAGACCAACTCACTAAATTAGCTCTCCTCAGAAATTATCTAATTAGGGGCACCTGGGTGGCTCAGTCAGTTAAGCATCCGACTCTTGATCTCAGCTCAGGTCTTGATCTTAGGGTCGTGAGTTCAAGACCCACATTGGGCTCCACATGGGTATGGTGCCTACTTAAAAAATAAAAATTAAAAAAATAATAAAAGAAATTATCTACTTAGAATAGTTTATATTCTACAAAGTTTAGTGAAATGGACACCATTTTAAAGGTGAATTAAAATGAATTAAAGGATGAGTCACCTCTGAAAAGGCTTATTGTTATTTCTTATTTACTATTTTTACTATGTTATTTACTATTTACTATATATACTTTTATATAAATTGTGTCCTTGGATTATAATCTTGGTTTGGTATAAGCAACATTTGTTTTTATATTTTAAGTTTATTAGCTATACTTTATATTTTAAGTTTCCCTTACGTGAAATGTGTCTACTTCACTCAGCCAGACCCTTCTCCTTACGTGAAATGTGTCTACTTCACTCAGCCAGACCCTTCTCCCTCCTCCTGCTTCCTTGCATTTTTCCTATGGGGGGCGGGGAGAGGGGAATGTGGATTTCTTCCTAACTCAGGGCGCTTACCTCTTCCCATAAGCCCAAGGAGATCCAGGCCAGTCTCCTGCCTTTTCCTTCCTCAGAATCCAGACATGGACTCAGGGCAAGACCAGAAATGGATTGCAAGGGCCCCAGGAGCAGAATGATGAGAAGAAAGGCTAGCGTTGGTTTTCAGGTGTCTAGCTCTCAGGGCTGCTCACAGCCCATTAGAGATATAATCACACAAACCCAAAGGGTAGTGCTATATGGGACTGGAAGCATATGAGGTAGTTCTTTCTCCGTGAATTAAGAGTAATTACATTCAAGGTCCCTTTCTGAGCCCAAAGGCATCACAGGACGACTATTCTATGAGTTCCAGAATGTACTCATCTCAGCCTCCCATATGCGTGATCCCCAAACTATGAAGGTAACACATTCCCCTCCACAAATGAGCCTTTGTGATCACCTGCATAAAGAGCATGAGATTCTGATCTCTACTTCCACTTGGGGCAGAATGCTCCTCCCAGCCTTGCCTCACTTTAGGGACCAGCACTCCTGAGGTCGGACATCTCCCTTGGCTCACCTGTTCCCTAAACGGGGTCCACACAGGGTCTCCACCTCAAGTCCTGGGCATCCACCAGTCAGCCCAAGATCAAATTAAACCCCTGGGGAACACCCCCATCATCAGTGCTATACCTTTAGGATAGAATTCAGATGTAGCTTGCTCAAAAATACCTCCAAAGTTTCGGAGATTATTTTGAATGATTCATAAAACAAATATTTATTGAGAAACTACTTTTTTATGTAAGGCCCAGAGCTGAGTTCCGAGGAAACAATAGCTAATACGTGAGTTCCTCCTTTCATAGGGCTGACAGTGGGCCATGGTGGACAGCATGGAGTGGCTTGAGAGTATTTTAGCCTTCACAATCATCACTGATCTCTTCTCAAAGCCATCCCAAGTAAGCACACCACCCAGAGCACAGCGTGCTCTGCTTCACAAACACAGCCTCGTGACCAACTCCTAGCCCTTTCCTTCTAAACAAAAGGCTGCCCTCAGCCCCATCCTGGCCACTGCCAGGGCCCATATAATTCATTCTTTCATCATAATTGTGATAAATGCAATGGACTCTAAGCACAGTTTCCTCATCCTAAAAATAGTAACACCTCCCTTGTACTATTGTTGTGAGGATTAAACAAATGGAAATTCTCAGAAACTACCTGTCACATGATGTTAGCTGTTATTATTGTTGTTGTTTTATTGTTATTTATGATTATTGTTTTAATACAGCAGAGGACTTGGCTCATCCTGTGTAATCAGGGAATGGATTTCCCAGAGAATGGAACATCTGCGCTGATCTCTAAAAGGTAATTATTACCTGGGGGAGTGAGTAGGGGGAAGAGTTGTTCAGAGGTACCCTGGGCAGAGTCAATAGCCTATGCAAAGGTCCTAAGGCAGAAAGAAGCAGGAGCCTATTAGAGGCCAGAAGGCACACCACACAAGCAGTATTAAGAATATTGGTCTCAGGGCACCTGGCTGGCTCAGTCAGTAGACCTTGTGACTCTTAATGTCAGGGTCATGAGTTTGAACAACACATTGGGCAGAGAAATTACTTAAAAAAAAAAAAAAGTAATATTGGTCTCTACCCTAAAATCAGTGGGAGTCCACAGAACATTTTAAAGCAAGAGACTGGCACGATGAGATTTGCATTTTAAAAAGATGGTTCTGGCTGTGGTTTGAAGGTTATTGGAAAGGTGCCAGAGTTCCCAAAGGAACAAAAGGGAACCTCCTAGTCTTTGGCCCACTGTATAAGAGTAATCAGCAGTTCACAAAATTAACCTCTCCCCAACATCAAAAGCCCTCTGGTTTCCTGTCTGAAGGATAGCATCTACTTGCCCTCATCAGATATTATCCTGACCAAAAATGCCAAGTACTTGTCTCCTGGGCCTTATACATGGTTGGCACTAACTCATTGGTTGGCTGACATTGAATTCCCTGTTCAAGTGGGCTCAACTCTCCCCTTCTGTGATTGGTAAGTTCAATGGTGGTATCTACGGAGAAACCTTAAGGTAGGGAGAAAGAGAGACCAAGTGTCAAGTTCCTTATCTCACCAGACCCCAGTCGGTCTCCTCATATGCATGAACTTGGTACTTTTGTAGAGTGGACACCTGGTATTATGCCTGCCCAGCCTCCCACAAGGTTCTGTTGGCAATCAAGCACCTCCCACCACCAGGCCTTCACTAATTGAGACTAACCCCAAGCTGAGCTAATCAGAGCCCTTCTCTGGGATTCAGAATTGGAACCATCAGTCTCCAGATCAGTGGGGTTGCTCACTGGCGCATAGAAAACAATACAGGAAATGATATTGGTGGCTCTTTTTATACTAATCCTATCTCTACTTAAAATGTTGACATTTTGCATATCATCAGTTTTGAAACATTGCATTAAAATATTATTTACTTTGAGAAGATGTGGTAGATATAGACAAGGGAATATAACCCAGCCATAAAAAAGAATGAAATCTTGCCATTTGCGATGAGGTGGATGGAGCTAGGGAGTATTATGCTAAGTGAAATAAG